GCGTTATGTCGTAAAGATGAAACTTTTCCGCAATTTCTCTGTTACCACTGCATTATCCATCAGCAAGCATTATGTGGAAATTTCCTGAAACTAAACAACGTTATGAAACTGGTGGTAAAACTTGTGAACAAGATTAGAGCTCAAGCGTTACGAAGAAGATTATTCAGAACCTTGGCCGATGAAGTTGACTGTCAATACGGTGACCTACTCCTTCACTCAGAAGTCCGATGGTTAAGTAGAGGACGGGTGCTGAAACGTTTTAATGATGTCCTATCTGGCATAGTTTATTTTTCAAACACCTTCGTTTGATAGGTAGGAATGTAGCTAAGAACAAGTACGTACTAGTAATATTAGTTATTTTGTTATTAGTTTATTATTAGTACCTATGTATTATGTATTACCAGTTAAATAGTAAAATAAATACATATAATGATAAATTAACTGTGGATTATTTCATTTACGTTGCGTTACGTGGCTTCCGTGTGGGTAGCTCGCTGTTTATTCCAAAATTAACAAAGTAGCTCAACACATTGAAGAGGTTGGCGACCACTGATATAGAGATACATATACTTCTTCTTCTTCATATAATAGTCTACATATACCGATTAATGAGTCGATTCAATTGAGATGGTTGATGATGCTCGCTCAAAAAAAAATGTAACGTTCATTATCATATTAAGTGAGTCAAGAAGAAGTCACATTTGTTGAGTTGATTGAGAAATTTCCCAATTTAATATTTTCTTTCGAAGTTGGAATAAGCATAAAATAAGACAAAGAAATTAACAAATTTCAGTAGATGTCCATTATTCTAGTGTAGATGAAGTTTTGATTCACTAAAAAAAACCTTTCTTTTAAGGGTGCAAGTTTTTTTCGACCTCAGAGTAACAAACGACAATAGAGAGGCCTTTTCCATCTTTACATTGAAGGCAGCATAACTTTGTTTGTTTACGGGAAATTAGTTGGACCATAAAACAGTGGCGGTCGGTTTAGGGATATCGGAGGGATATTATATAGGTATTTGAAAAATAAATCATTTCAGGTGAAAATGTATTCTGTTCAAATAGTTCCTACAGGCAGGGCCGTCNAAGATTGTTAATTCATCTTACTGTATGTTTTCGTTAGTTAGGTGGTATTTTTCAACAAGGAGACACTACAAAAACACTTTTGTCTATTTTCCACGCTATTTCTTTATTGTGACTAGTTTCGGCTATTACACCACTATCCTCAGTGAACATGAATTTCCACAAAATAAACAAGTCGTCAATCAAAGAAGTATTTTTCAACAACTCTTTGTGTTCTGTTTTGCAAGTATGATTTTATTAAATCAGATGAGATTCCCCCGATTCCATAGGCATTTGGCATAATTTGGGAAGGGAAACATATGGAAATTTGACTGAAATGGGTTGTATATGGATTAAAAAAAGAACAATAATTTTTCTTTTGTGCTTCAATTATTGAAGCACAAAAACCAACTTATAACACATTCGAAGCTGATGATTGACCATCAATTTTTTTTTTAATATATTGAAAAGAAGGAAAAACTGTAATTTCACTGGATGAAACAGCTAATGAATTCTCTCATTATTGTAAAACCCAAGAAAAATACACTTTTTAGGTAATTACCACAAAATACTTGAACAAATCAACTTTTTGAATTGAAAAACTAGTTTCACAGGCCCGTTAGAATAGAATATGTTTATTTCATCACATTAACTACAAAAGTGACAAGTCAAACTGACAAACAAAAATAACAATAATTGAACAATAGTTATTGTTATACACACTGATTCCATCTAAAACAATTATTATGGAAAAAAATAATAAAAAATACATGTAACATATCAAAATAATAATGTCTCACAGTTCAATATTCGTCGATGAAGTAGAAACAGTGCCTAATAGTGAGTGCTTAACTCTAGCCTTGAAACGGTTGTAACTCAGACTGGTATTGTCTGTTGGTATTTTATTGTATCGGCATTTGTAAGGTACTTAGTATTATTTTTGTGAATCTCTAAAATGTTATAGAGTATGAAAATACATGGCAAGGGTAGAATTTTGAGTTTTTGAAATAGAGGACGACATTGGCTTTGATCCGGACTGCTTTTTTTGCATATGAAAAGCCCCATAAAAGTATGCCATATGTTAGGTGGCTGTCACAAAGAGAAAAGTATGTCTGTAATACCATACGTTGACTAAGACACATTTTCAGCTGTCTCAGTAGGAACAGTTGTGTAGAAAGTTTCTTGCACAGACCAGCAACATGTGCTTCCCAATTTAACATGTCATCAATTTTAAACCCCACTAAATCAACATGTTGCTTCTTTGTTATTTGTATATTTGATGATATTATAAATTTCTGTGTCTTATCCTTGTTTAGTTTGAGATAAAGTTTCAGCGTCATTATCTATTCTAGAACATAGGTCCATTAAGTCGTTAACATCTTTTTTAAATTTTCAACTTTCAATTTGATTTGTGACTCAAAACAAGTGTTTCACTTATTGAGTGTCAACGGTATTTGTTTGTGATTCTGTGTTATCATTATATCTGTAATATTTTGTTATACAAATAAATATATTATCATCTGAGTCTGCTTCTACCGTTGATACATCATCTGCGTAGCAAAAACATAAGCTTGGGAGTAAGAAATTAAAAATATCATTAATATATACCACAAAAAGAGTTGGTCCCAGTATGGACCCTTGTGGTACACCATGCAAAATGGATCTACATGTGCTAGAATTTCCAGATGTATAAACAACTTGTTTTCTCCCACACAAGTAGGTTTTCATTAGCTCTAAAGCTCTGCCGCGTATCCCGTAATATTCCAATTTACCGAGTAGGAGGACAGGATTTACACTGTCAAAAGCCTTCCTTAGATCACAGAGTTAGAGCAGACACTATCCCTTTCTCGATATTCTCTATTATTGTGTCAACTATAGCCATCACAGCTTGGGTTGTTGATTTGTTAGACCTAAATCCAAATTGATTTTTATTAATATTATGCAACAAATAGTGAACAATAATCGTATTTGGGAACAAAACTTTTAATGAAAGTGAGTTATGATGAATTCGTAACACTGCCATGTAAAACATGTTTTAATAAAATTTTTGAAGACAATCATCTTTTAATACCTCTTGATATCAGTCTCGCAGTCACTATCTATAGCAAATGAATTATTACACTTCAAACTCAAAGGAAAGAGTTTAAATATTCGACGGTTATATTAAAATGAAACCATTCCCAGAATTTATTGAAATTAGTAAATCTGAAATATTTTTTAAATATTCTACGTTGCGCTGTATCGAAAACAACATCATAAACCAATCGATAAGTGTTCATATTTATACTGTGTGTCGAAGATGACATAGTTTAAGATGTTTAGTATTTTTAAAGTTTAATCTCATTTTCCGTTAGGCAGATTTGGATATCAAGGTTTTCAGTTTTATTAAAAAAAATTAAGCAATATTTGTGTTATGTTGGCAGAAATAGTAGCCAGGGACGTTTTTTATAAAGGTAGATGTAATAGATCATAGTCAATGAGGATTTCATTTGGAGCACATGTATGTTTACTGAGAGGGACATTATGTCTATTTTTTCTCTTAGAGCATAGCAGTATTTTGTATTGTTGAGGTTAGGTGAGATTTCCAGTCCAATCTAAGATCGATCTCAATTCCCAAGAACTTTGTACTTTTGCAAACTGATATTGTTGATCTACCATCTGAGGCTGAGTATTCACATGCAGTTGATTGTTGGGAAAACTTTATTACTTGTGTTTTGTTTGTATTCAACTTTAAGTGATTATGTGTGAACCAATCTTCCAATGTATTCAGTGCTTCAAACACGCTTCTGTCTAATTCTTCAATACTATGTTCCTTGATTACTACACTCGTGTCATCTGCAAACTGCATAGTGTTGAAATCAATAGCATTTGCTAGTTCATTGGTATGCAGAATATATAGCAACGGCCCTAAGATTGATCCTTGCGGAACTCCTCTCAAGATTGTTAATTCATCTTACTGTATGTTTTCGTTAGTTAGGTGGTATTTTTCAACAAGGAGACACTACAAAAACACTTTTGTCTATTTTCCACGCTATTTCTTTATTGTGACTAGTTTCGGCTATTACACCACTATCCTCAGTGAACATGAATTTCCACAAAATAAACAAGTCGTCAATCAAAGAAGTATTTTTCAACAACTCTTTGTGTTCTGTTTTGCAAGTATGATTTTATTAAATCAGATGAGATTCCCCCGATTCCATAGGCATTTGGCATAATTTGGGAAGGGAAACATATGGAAATTTGACTGAAATGGGTTGTATATGGATTAAAAAAAGAACAATAATTTTTCTTTTGTGCTTCAATTATTGAAGCACAAAAACCAACTTATAACACATTCGAATGTTATCATTATATCTGTAATATTTTGTTATACAAATAAATATATTATCATCTGAGTCTGCTTCTACCGTTGATACATCATCTGCGTAGCAAAAACATAAGCTTGGGAGTAAGAAATTAAAAATATCATTAATATATACCACAAAAAGAGTTGGTCCCAGTATGGACCCTTATGGTACACCATGCAAAATGGATCTACATGTGCTAGAATTTCCAGATGTATAAACAACTTGTTTTCTCCCACTCAAGTAGGTTTTCATTAGCTCTAAAGCTCTGCCACGTATCCCGTAATATTCCAATTTACCGAGTAGGAGGACAGGATTTACACTGTCAAAAGCCTTACTTAGATCACAGA